ATATAAAAAAACTAGCAATGTCGAAATGTTTGTCGAAATTGCTTTTTTTAAAAAATAATTTAGACACCCATGTATAGCTACAGCTGTATTTCATAATTCCTGGGACATCTGATAAAAATTAGCCGAATGATTTTTCGGCCGATCCGGATAATTATTTTTTCGGCATAACGATAATAAATTCAATAAAAATTGATATAATATACGTAATTTAAAATCAGGCGACTAATACAGTATACAGTAAGATTATGCATATCTCTTGTTGAATTCAAAAATATGATACAGTACTTTCAAAGCACATTCGCTGGCAAATTATTGAAATTTTTTTAAAAGCCCTATCAATTCGAAAAATTACAAAACGCTCAGGTGTTAGCAGGTCTTCTATAAATCGGGTTCTTGTGCATTTTCAAAGATATTGTTGTATTGAAAAACTTCCATCGTTTTCAAGAAAATCACGTTCTCTAAACATGAACAATATAAAATATTTTAAACTTATGAAAGAAAAATCTGACTAATACTTGTATGAATTACCCGAGATGGAATAGTCTTACAACAATTTGGAGGGATATATACCAATTTAGATATACACACAAAAAGGTAATTTTTCGTATACTGTATTTATACATATTTTTATTTTATAAAATTATTACTAATTTTAATTTTATAGATTTCAAACCTCGAAAAAGAAAGAAATGAAGTTGATAGAAATAAATTTATTTTACGAATGCCTCAGTATACGCCAAGTCTTAGTTTTTTCAGATGAAACTGCTTATGACAAAAGAATACTATCACAACGCTATGGCTGGAATTTTTCAGGATTGCGTGCATTTTTTTGTTCGAGGAAGATGATTCACCATAGAATTGTATTCAAGACGATTCTATGAATTCTATTGATTATGAAAATTTTTATTGAACATGTTTTAATAAGAATTATTACATAAATATGATATTGATACGCTTAATATCAACTAAATTATAATTTTTGAAATCGTACCAACAATGTAATTCAATTTTTGAATAGATATGATAGATTACGTATATCAATATTAAAAAATTGGGCCTGATGCCGAAATCAATAACTTAATCAGATCAGCCGAAAACCGAAAAATCATTCGGCTAATTTTTATAAGGTGTCCCAGGAATTATGAAACAGCTATACGTATGGGCGAAAATTTCCAATTTTTATAATTTTTATTATGCATAAAAGTTTTTTGAACCAATCATATGCAAGATTTGGAGATTAAAAGTAAAATTTCTATGAGATACTTATCAGTTGCTTATCGGTCTTTTATATAGTTTACTTTATGGGTCCTTAGATAATTTACGAGTTCTTATCAGTTTTTATACAGTTACTCTATAGTAATTTAGACCATCACATTTATCACACTGTTCCGACTGGAAATTTTCGCCAATACGAATAACCCTCAAAATCCGTAGCACGAACACGAAAGGGCTTTTGAGAGGTAATAATGTTAACCCTAGTCATATTTCGCATTCTAAAAAACATAATGGGGCATATTATTATCCATAGCTGTCATAGAATATGTCCACTACTTATTATTCAAATTAGAATTTTATAAGTAAAAATTTAATTTAAACAAAGAAATAAATATGAACTCTTTCTTTAAATTTTAATTATCTAAAGCAGCCATAGGATATGTCCACTATTTATTACTCAAACGAGAACACATCAAAATTTTTATAAGTAAATTTGATTAAACAAAGAAATTGAACTCTTTCTTTAAATTTTAAATATATATTCTTTAATATTTAACAATTCTTATTAAAAGTTACAAGTTTTTAATTTCAAGCAGAGAACGAAAATCTTTAATTATTTACTGTGCTTTTTAAGTCAAAAAAAAAAATTAAACTTATTCAAAACAATAAATAATACAGTATGATTAGCTAAAATAGTAATTAAACCTTTTTTTTATCTGGTTTGTCGTTTTTTAAGAAAAATGTGAATCCTGTAGTTATGCATTTTAGAAGTTCGTAATCGTATGAGATTACATTTATCCTAGAGATTAACATGTATAATTTTGACGATTAACATGATTGTAAGTTGTGGTGCTGGGAATTATTTCTACATATGGAAACAATTTTCAATCGTTCAGTAATTCCTGCGAGTACGTACAAAGTAAAATTTCCAATTACAGCTGTTTTCAAAAAGCTGTGGGAAACGATTACCATATACCCATGTGGGGAATCGAAGAATGTGGAAATTCTGTTTAGCAAAATTAAAAATCCGATTATAGCGAGTCTTAAAAGACTCTGGAAATCTGGGAAATATCGTGAATTCCCCATGGTATAGTGATCTGCGTCTTCCACAAGGTTTTGAAAACGGCTGTATATTATATGCAAAGGTTGAATAAATAAATATCGGGTAAGTTTCCTGATATGTACCCGATAGTCTGCCATAGATCCGCCACCTACCTGCTGTATATCAGCGAGCATTATTGGTAAGATATCAGGAGGTACCCCAGTATCGCCAGAAAAACTTTACTTCACGTGATGATTGACCGAAAGTTGGCCAAAATTTGCATTAACAAAAGATTTTCCTCGAGTAATTTTACCGTTCTAACCTAAACGAACTTAAAGATTTTTACATGATCACGTGATAGTAAAAGTTCTACCCCTAGGGTGCGAAAGCATAATTTGCATCGCATAATTAAGGAAAAAGACATAAATGCATGTGGGTGAGATGTGATTGGCGGAAGAGGTGTTTGACAGATGAAAATTCCGAAAACTTCCGATGCAGAAAGTCAAAACCAATCACATTTCAAGATTAGGTATTCAAAACAAACGTTCGTTTTGTCAAGCATCGTTTATTTCTCTAGTAACCCATCTTTGCGCATTAATACAAAGTTTTCCTTGAGTGATTTTACTATTAAAACCTAAACAATAAAGAATTTTTCGTTGCGTTACACATGGTCACGTGCCGGTGAAATTTTGGAAGATGGAAGATGTAGAAACGATATCGGTAACATAACAGCAAATATTGGGATATCCCGATATCTTACTTTAGGCCCAGAGTGCTAAGAGTAAAATATCAGGATATCATGATGTGCCGTTATGTTACCGATATCGATCTACCTACTAATATGCTCCCAATATGCTGCTGATATACAGCGGATCTATGGCAGACATATCAGGAAACTTACCCGATATTCATTGATTCAACCTGTGATAATTGGAAATTTTACTTTGTATTCAGATGCTCTCCTTATGCAAACTCGAGTTACATTCGATTAACTTATGGCGATTTACCAACAATTACCCGACAACCATTTCCCCGACACGACCATTTCCCAACATGATGTGATTGTTGGGGAAATGGTCATGTCGGGAAATGATTGTCGGTGAAATGGTTGTTGGGAAAATGGTTATGTTGGGGAAATAATTATCGGGCAAATACTGTAGCTGTCAGGGAAGCGATTGTTGGGTAATTGTCGGTAAACCGTGACCCTGTGATTTCGTGATGATGATAGACGAGATTTTAATTCCCTATTGATTATAATTTTCAATCAATAACGTCTATATTTTATTCTAAATCTTTAAAATTATCCAAGAATTGAAAAATCTACTATAAATCGACTGATTTTACATGACATCATGATAATAATGTAGGATAATCAAAAAAGACCTCTGTTTGTGGAATTGAACAATTGAGAATTATAGTATTTCTGCAAATATAGAAATAATCCGCAATTTACAAAGTCATATTAATCGGAAATTAAGTACTTACAAGTACATGATTTTATTTCCGTATATCTCTTTAGGATAAATTTATATGTAATCTCATACGAACTGGGTGTTGAGTTACAGACTTATAAAATGCATAACTACAGGTTTCACATTTTTCTTAAAAGAAATAGATAAAAAAAAAAGTTATTTTAATACAAATAAAATAAAGGGTATTTAATAATGTCCCAATTTTCGTTTTCTCCGCAATATTATGAAGCATTAGAACGGTTGAAAAAGAATGTTAAAGCTTCTAAAAATATAACTGTAGAAGAAGTAAGAAAGAATTATGGCCTAATTCCTGTACCAACTCCAAATGACTGTATTGTGGATGAGACTATATTGGATGAAAAATATGTAATTAAAAGCAAGGAATATTTAATGGATAGGTTGAAAATATATGAAGACGTTGTTGATGAAAAGTGGCAAGAACTTGATAATAATGGATTATCCGGAGAATGGGTTAAGATTAAAGATAAGAAAGATACAGGAAGGGTTGTGCTTTTCATGTTTGGTGGAGGATATTTTATGGGATCACCTAAAGTATGTCGTAATTTGACTTATAAAATTGCAAAAAATGCTGAATGTTCAGTTTTTGGTAAAATTATCTAAATTTTTAGTCACTGTATTTCTTAGTTCATAAAAGATATATTTTTAACCTTTTATTCTCTATAATAATAATTAGCAATTAATTATCGTCTTTCTCCTGAACATCAATTTCCTGTTGCACTTTGTGATGCTTTAGCAGCATATTTCTATCTTACTGATCCTCCTCTAGAAACTGGACTTAAACCAATTGATCCTAAACAAATTATATTTGCTGGACCTAGTGCTGGTGGTGGATTGGCTGTTGCTACTGCATTATTCATTCGTGATGTTGGTTTACCATTGCCATCAGGACTTGTTTTATGGGTATGTTTATTAATATTATGATTATTACAAGGTTTTTATGCTTAACTAATTCTATTCTTAATAATAATAAATTCAAAATAGTCACCATGGGTAGATTTAATGGCTAGCATGCCATCTTATTGGAAACCTGAAATGGACAAAACTGACTTTATAGCTGGTGCGCTAAATGTTTGTAAACTCGGTCTACTTCAATTGAATATCTTGAACGCGTAAAAATTCTTTCGGAAAAAATTAAACAAAAAAAACCAAAAGTAGTCGGGCATCCTTCTTTTACTAAAGTTCCAAGATTTAATTTATATTGTGCAAATGAAGCTTTGGCCATTCCATATGTTAGTCCAAAGTTTGGGAAATCTACCACCTATTTTATGTGTAAGTAATTTAAATATCATATTTATTCATATATTAATTTTGTATTAGTCATCTTAATCATATGTTTTTACATTCACTGATAAAATAGCAAGTGGGTGGTGGAGAAAGATTTTTAGATTCAAATATTTTATTCAGTTTCAGAGCTTCTGATCCGAGTAAATTTCAATTACCTAAATATGCTACAATGAATTTTGCTAATTCACCGTTCAAGAAGCCTACCGATGTCACACTTGAAGTTTATGAAGGAGCGTGTCATTGTTTTCAAGAAGTGAGTTTTATTTGACATCAAGAAAAATTGAGTTTTTTAATTATCTTTCACATATTTATATATATTCATATGTACTTTATATATTTTATATATATTCATATGTACTTTATATATTTTATATATATTCATATGTACTTTATATATTTTATATTACAATGTTAATAGATAGTTCCTGATGAAAAAATTTCAAAGTTCTCAGTAAAACGTTCTTGCGATTTTATTAAGAATCATACACTTAATGAAAGTATTCCGAAAGAAGCTGAGAATAAATCTTTTCAAGGTATTCAAAAAACCATTAATACTATTGCAATTAACCCAAATTGTGATATTAAAGAGTTAGATAAAAAATTTCTAGAATGTCTAAACTGGGAAAATATTGGTGTTGTCCCAGAATTAGAAGTTGACATATAAACAAATCTTGTTTATATAAAAATTTTTTATTATGGTTAAACAAGGTTCAAAGATATATATTAAGGAAGTTTGAATTATATTATTTTATATATTTTATATATCAAGAGAATTTATTAAGATAATTTATTAACATTATTAAATATTAAACTTGTGTTAACTTGTAATTTACAAATTAAATACAATTGTTTAACTAAATTAATTCATAAATTTATTTTTCAGTTTTGTATAATATTATTAGAGGTGAGGTTAAAACCGTTCATCAGGCCCAGACCGAACCAAACTTTGGATTAGGCTTGGATAGAGGTTGGAACCGGTTTTAAATATTCGTGTTTATCACATCAAAATTCGAGCTTATCACACCAAAATTCGAGTTTATCACATCAATTATTAATAATTCACGTGATAAACTCGAATTTTGGTGTGATAAACTCGAATTTTGATGTGATAAACTCGAATATTTAAAACCGGTTCCAACCTCTAGGCTTGGATATGGTTTGAAATTCAAATCTGACCAAAACCCAAACTATTTTTCATGCCCAGTTTGGTTCATATTTGAATATCAACTTCTAGCTTTGTTAAGTCTGATCCGGATCCAGTCTAAAAGTTTACGAACATATTACAGCTGCTCTCATACGTTTTGGGACAAATTAAAAATTTGTTGTTTCCCGAAATCTCTTCGGTTTCGTCCTAAAGGTCACCTAACTCTTCGGGATCACGTCATTGTCTTCGGAACTTCAGTCCGGAAATTGCGATGTATTTTTCAGAGAGTCGGATAATTCATAGGACGAATCTCAGGAAACGAGCAAATTTTTAAGAATTTATGAGAACGGCTGTAAGACATGTTTATGTTTGATAATTCAGACATATCGCTGGATATTGTATCCACATAAAGGTTACCCAGTGATATCTATAATTGGATCATAACTATTGCTACCCGGGTAACCCAAATTAATTTTTGTAAATACTAGTGATTTGAACCGATTGAAGCTCTTAATCGGTTAATCCGGTACAACCGAACTATAAGTAGGGTTGTTAATGAAGTACTCCAGACATTAATAAAACATATAACCCACTTCTGGAGTACTCCGGGGTGGGTTATATGTTTTACTATTGACTGGAGTGCTCCATTAACAACCCTAACTACAGTTACCCGGTTAACTGGTTATTAAAATCAAGTTCAATATGTATGATAGATAAGGAAAAGCAAAACTTTAGTGTGATTTTTTGATCTGCAATTTGAATTATCTGTTTATGACTCGTTAGGGTGTTCAATAAACTAATTGATCAAAACATAGTTGTCATTAAGTTCGGATTTTTTAAAGGGTTATTTCACATATAAATTTATATATGAATTTGTACAAATTTAGGTACTGTACATTTTTCTACACAATTAACAAACAAAATTGTATCATATTTTTTTTTAAACTGTAGCTCTATACTAGCTCTACACTGAAATAGAACCAGTTTTTAAATAACTTTTAATAAAATTTTGTTTTAATTTTTATTAATAATTGTGGCAGATCATAATGAAATAAGATTAAAATGAAATAAGGCCTTTTTTTGTTTTTTTTTTTTTTTTTTTTTTTTTTTTTTTTAAGGTGAGATCTTGCCTCTTGTTATTTATTAGATATATACATATATCAATTACATACATTTATACAACAATTAATACAACAGTGGCTTAGACTAATTATCTACGATCTATACCTACCAGAGCTGTCCATGTTCCACTCATGTATTACCTGGATTTTGTGATTATACATCTAATCATGTTACAAAATAATTGTTTTAAATAAAAATAATTTTTTTTTTTAAGTAATCATATTATAACTCTATTGCTTTATAGATATATTTCACAAAAAAACAGAATTTATTACTTAGTCTCTAGAGTGTGGCTTATCTGGTTACTATAAAACACTTATATGCAATCTGTCTAAGTAAAAATAATTTTACTAGTTTGGTCAAACTAGCTTTTCTAGCTTATTGACCTGGATTTACAGCCTGTCATGATTATATTTTTTTTAGCTCTCTTCTTCTAACTTTTTAAGTAAAAGAATTTTACTAATAATAAATTAAATAATTATACAATTTCTAGCAACTCTTCCTAATAATCACTTATACCAAAATTTTAACTAACAAAAAACAAAACTTTTGTTAGAGAAACGTGGCTTTATAGTGCAGTTTGTCTAAAGGTCAACTGCTTTCTAAAGAACTCTTCTAAAAAGACATTCAGCATACAAGCCAGAAGCATTATTATACAAGATAACTAGCAGGTGGTGCCCTTATATAAAAAATCTTAGTAAAGAAAAAAAGTCTCAAAGTAGGTTTCTACTTCATTAACAAAGCTCTAAGACTGTTACTTTGAAGAAGAACACAAAGGAAATAACAAAAGTTTTAAATTTTAATACACTTCTTAGAAGTTTTGAAAATACCTGCAACTAAAAATCTTATACTATATTTTTGCTATTTTGAAACTTTTTAGAAATTTTGGCTAAAAAGTGAAAAAACTAGCATACTCTTTCTAAAAGATTGACAGTGTTTACTCCTTCTAAAATTAGAACACATCTACTAAAATAGAATCTCCTATAAGCTTATTTGAATTATGCTTTGCTAAATAAAAAATGATGGTGTATTAGAGGTCAGAGGAATCATATATAAAAGTTTTTTAATATTAGATAGTATAACAGAAACTCGTATTTTGATAGAAAATCATAGGTTATAAAATTTGTATAATTAGCTAATTGATGTAAATCCAAACATGATTATTGACCAATCAAATTAATTAAAAACTCTTTCAATATACAAAATATGCAAAGGTGAATTTATTATTAATAAAAGCAAAGCTTTTTTTAATACTAAAGTAGTTTTATTCTATTTTACAACTACTATATTTTATTGAAACAAGTTTCATCTAACATATTATTGCTCTATAATTTATATTACTGCAATTTTTTTTTTTTTTTTTTTAAATCTTTGACAGTCTTGCTAGTGCTCAATTTATTGCAACTTTATTCAGGTAAGAGCCAAACAATACATATATCATTCATAATCACAAACAGGGAGTTAACACAATTGCGAGCCTGACGTCATCCGGCTACAATAAACATACCCATATGTGACTTGTCGCACCAACCTGTATACAAGTTATATAAACTTTGTCAGCCCGTCAAAGCTTTTTCCTTTATATCTTCTTTCTTTACCGAGAGCAAAAGAAAGTAATGATTTTATACAAAACCACCAATACTACCAAGAAAACAAAATAAAAATTTAACTAAAAAAAACAAATAGAATAAAGGGGTATTTTTAAAGGGAAAAAAAATGAGGGTACAATGAGATATAAAAAAAAGAAACACAAAGAGAAAAGCCCAAAGGCTGACAAAGGGAGGAACTACCTCTATAAAGAAATAGCATAGGAAAATGAAAAAAAAAAAAAAACAAGAAATACGCTATTATAACCCGTGCCAGGTTTAAGAAAAAATTTTATAACAACTACAATGTTTGTATATCTTGATTATAACAAAAGAAATTTAATATCCAACTACTAGCCACCTCTGGATGCCTCTTATGCTAGAGACCTGATCCTAGTCACGTGGAAGACCCATATCTATAGATTACGTCGTGTATCATATCCACCGATAAACAAGGCATGTGGTTGTATTCCTGGGTACATTCAAATTTGGAAGATAAACAATGCCGATCTTTTGGAGGGGGTAAGCCAAATCATCCACTTTTTGTCAAAAATTTTGAAAGAAACCGGCCAAGCGAAAAACACCTAGAGAGAAACCACTTGTATCCAAGAAAAGTAGTTATATCCATATAAAAACTCAACAACTTCTAAACCTTCTTCTAGGAAAGAGGTGGGGTACTTATACTTTCTTATCAGTGAGTGATAAACTCTGGGCTTGTTAGCAAGTAGTGTATAAGAACTACTTTTAAACAACAAGTGCCGTGCATGCGGTGAGTGATAAACTCTAAAGAAGTTAGCAGATAGTGTATAAGAACTACCTTTAAATAACAACTACCGACTTATAGTGCTGCTCTCTGTTTTTTACTATATGCTATTGTTTTTTTACAAAAAAATATGTTTGGATTTTTGGTACAGATGATCGTTGGAAAGAGTTGAATTAATTTTGTATTTATATTACTGCAATTAAAATCACGTATTTATTATACTATATATAGTATTAGAGATAGGTTTCTTTTTGTTTGATAATAATACATATATATGTCTTAGTTCAGGTAAAATAAATCGTTAAAAATGCTTATATTGCTTTGTCTATTTAATAAATGTATAAAGTTTTATATTAGTATAACACTAGTATAACACTTATGGTTTAACAATTTATAAATCTACTGTTTGGCTTTGTAATTTAAATGTAATAGAAACTCAATAAACACTGCCAATAACTAACACCCTACCTTTGTTCTTATGAAAACTTCATGGGGAAAGCGATTAAAAATGATTAGAAAAGATTTTCTACTAGAATGAAAAAAATTTACTTATAAATAAAAGCACCTTGAGTTTAACTTATTATGATTAAATAGATAGTAAAATTGCTAGTTTTTAGACTACAACTGTATATCAAATTTTCAATTGCCTATATAAATAGTTTATATAACAATCATTTCAGAATCTATCAGATACAAGTTTTTGCTATGCTATATTAGATGTTTTCTTTTATTTTTTTTCACTTCTTTTATTATATATAATATTAGGTTAGAGTAGTATCATTTATCACTTAATTTTTTTTTATCAGAGGTTTACTTCCCCTCTAGTTTTTAATATATAAATTATCAGGTTTTATATATAAAATTTCAATTTTTTTTTTAACTCCCCCTCTTAAAAAATCAACTGATAATTGTTAGCTTTTTTGGATTTTATTCTATATAACATTATATAATTTATGTAGCCTAATACAGGCAAAAATAATACCATTATAGCTATCTTTTTTTTGGTCTTTTTTTTTTTTTTTTTTTTTTTTCCTTTTTTCTTTTGTTTT